TAAAATGTAACAGTAACAGTAAGAAGCATCTTGCCATCCTTTCAAGAGTGATGTGCTGAGAACGAGGCAAAAGTAAGCAAATATAATGTTTTAAATGTCTTATCAATGAGAGCAAATGGGAAAGCATTTTCTTTAAGCAGTGCCTGAATGTGATGTGTGGGAGAAGCCCACAGAATGGTAATTATTTATCAGGCAAATGTGTGTGTATGGGGGGGGGGGGAGGCATGGACAGGGGAGGGTGTCCTAAGACCCAGGGAAAAGAACTGCTGGGAGGTGAGGTTGGCAGCCCCACCCCTCCTCCCCGAGAAGCAAGACTGTGCCTACCTGGTTGCCCCCACTCTTGGGGTTTACAAACACCAGCAGGGGCTTCATGAGCGGGGACGGGGTGGGCCTGATGATGAAGGGTCTCCAGCGGGCCTCCTTGGGAGACAGAGAGGGCTGCGAGGCCCCTTCCTTGGCCCACGGGACCGGAGCCCACCCAGCACCCACCTTCCTGCACCCGCTCTGGTAGGCCATGCACAGCTGACTGCCTGCCCTCCTTGGTGTCTTTGAAGCCCAGCGTGACCCTCCCCCAGGCTGAACCCGCCGCTCCCTGCTTGACCCCGGGCAGCCCCAGGTCCAACCTCGGGCCCTTTCTTGCTGGCCTTCCTCTTGAAGGAGGCTCTCTTCTTCTTCTTGCTCGCCTTCAGGGTATTCTGCCGGAGGAGCAGTGGGTCAGGGACGGGCAGGGGCCGGGGGACCCAAGCTGGGGGTGTCCAGGGCGCAGGCAGCCCGACTCACTTGGGGCCTGCGGGCGCGGAGGATCCAAGTGGGCGGGATGACCACGGCGGCATGGACGCCCAGGGAGCAGGGTTCCTCGATCTGCTGCAGCATGAAGCAGGACACCCTGCTGTGGTACTGGAAAGGGGGGGTGGTTGAGGCTGAGCTGCCCCCCCACCTCATCCCCCCCCCCACCTCCGCCCAGCACAGCCTGAGGGCAGGCGGGCCTGACGGCTCACCGCTTGCTTGCACCAAGAACAGCTGATGGCCACGATCTCCTTGCTGTGGAAGGTGAACTTCTGCTGGAAGCCCTGAAGCGGCCGGGGGAAACGGATGGCTGAGTCAGGGGTGGCCCGGACAGCAGACCCTCTCTGCAAACACCCTGAGCTAAGCCCCAGAGTAGGGGGGCTCCACAGGGAAGCAGTGGGCAAGTGGGTGGTCTAACTCAGGGGCCCTGCCTCCAGCCCCCCAGACCTGGCCAGGCCCCCACCTATATGCTTTTGAATTGACTAATCCGAAAGCTTTCATCCTTCTGCCCTGGCTGGGCGGGGGGAGGGTCCCTGTTTAATAAGGGCCCAGGGCCAGGCCCCATGCTGCGTGCTGATAAAGGGAAAAGGGCACATTCCTGAGCCCATGCTTCCTGGGGGAGCCAGCCAAGTTGCCCCAAGTACCCAGCCAACCACAAAACACCCACTGGGCGCAGGGTGGCCTCCAGGGGGCAGCGCCGCACGTCTCACCTTCCCACAGTGCCTACACTTGCCGTCCTGCCGCCGCCGGTGCACCCAGTGGTGTCGTACGAAGGTGGGCTGAGGAGGAGGGGGGATCGTCACCTGAGGAGTGACAAGCTGAGCCGGGCCCACCACCCTCACTAGTCAACAGGAGGGGAGACACCCAGGGTTTCTCTCCACGGCCCAGAGGGGCGCAGGCACTCTGACAAGGATGGGCCTTCCCCAGAGGGGGTGGGGGTGGTGTGTGTGTGTGTGTGTGTCCTCCCCTTCTGTAGCCAGCCTGCCCCTCTGTGAGGCCTCTGCAAGCCTCAGTCTCGGGTAGCAGGAGAGAGTGGCCCCCCGCTGGGGACAGTCCGAGTCACTGCAGGGAGGTGCATGTGAAGACCCTTACCTCTCGAACATTCCTGGAGCCAGACTCCCGGAAGGATGGCTTACAGCGGAAATTGATCTGTGAAACACGGCAGCGTCCACCAGAAAGTCAGGCCAAGTTCTGGGGTCAGCCAGATGGCCACCCTTGCACAGTGGGGTGTGCCCGTCCAGCCCGGGAGCCCTCGGGACGTGGCCTCCTTCCTCAGCCCCCACAGCATTCTGTCTAGTGTTCCAGGGGCGGGGGGCTTTCCTCAACTTGCACTCCTGGCCCCCGTGGCCTGTCGCTAGTCCATGGGCAGCAGGTCTGAGGTTCACCTCAGGGTGATAATGGGTGTCTGGGCTATATCTCACCTCTCTGGTGTAGCAGGTTACTTATTGGACTGCCAACTGCAAGGTCAGCAGTTCAAAACCACCAGCCGCCCCATGGGAGCAAGATGAAGCTCTTTAGTCTCAGGAATACACAGGGGCAGTCCTACCGTTTGAGAGGACTGAAGTGAGTTGGGATTGACTCTGTGGAAGTGAGTTTGATTTCTGCTTTTGCTCCCTGCTTTAGCTTTAGGGCCTCAGATGGCTAGGTGCCGGACTACCGACTGTACTAACTGGAGGGAGAGCTGGCAGTTCAAACTCTCCCAGAGGCCCCTGAGAAGTGAGGCCAGGCAACATGCTTCCAAAAGATCCCAGCCGGGAAAACCCCCACGGAGGGCTCTACTCCACACATGCAGGGTTCCCCTCTGCCAGAATCCAGCAGTCTTGCTCTGGAATTCCAGTTGGGGGAGCCTTGCTCACACCCAGACTGATGGATATGCCTGCGCTGACCTGGGTATCTGCAGCCTGGAGAGGCCAGATGGACGATGTCCCTCCCACACCCCCAGGACTTCCTACTGGCCAACCTGCCTCTCAAAGCACAGCGTCCGGCAGCACCCTGCCTCCGGTGTGCCATGGAGAAGTTCGTGGGGAGTGCTCCTGACAGCGACTTCGCACTGGGGCAGACCATGGACTTTGGGGCTGCCTGAGACCGACCTGGTCACTGCTGAGCTCTAAATGCTCAGCCGGTCAGGGGCCTCTTGAAAGCATTAATGTGGACACCAACAGACCACAGCCCTGGCCACCATCTGTCCACTAACCATTCTTCCCTCCGGGAAACACCATGGGGCTCCATAGAGTTCCTGGAAAGATTCTGTTATCTTTTCATCCCATTTTCCCACCCACCTGGTGAAGCCCCCTCCTAGTTGGAGAGGCACATTCTGGGCCAGGCCCAGTGCCAGGCTCTGGGCTGAGCAGTGTGTGGCCAAGGCCCTGGCCTCTGGCACCCACGTTCAGATGGAGAGGGCAAGGCATGCTCCCACACTGCCAGATGGCACAGCAGAGCTACTCAGAGCTCTCTTTAAGGAGCCCAGTGGGTTAACTATTGGCTGGCAACTACAAGGTCCACCAGCCACTCTGTGGAAAAAGATGAGGCTGTTGGCGCCCATAAGCTCCTAAGGGTTGACAGTCTCAGACACCCCCAGGAGCAGTTCTACTTTGTCCTGCCATGTTGTTAAGAGTCAAAATCAAGTTGCTGGTGGTGGGTTTGGTGGGGGCAATGGGTCGGCACTCAACTGCTGTGATAGTTACTGGTAGGCATGTTGTGCCAACTAGGCCAATAGGAACCTGGGGGCAGAGTTTGATTGGACATTGCAGCTTGATTGGAGGGTGACCGAGATAAATGAAGACTAGCAGCATATGTTCTCCGGTGATCGGACCGGCGTGCTGCTGCTTTAGCTGGTTCTGTCTCAACCTGTGAGCTACACTACGTGTGGGCCAAGCCAAGCCTTGGATCTTGTTGCTGGAACTTGAGGCTCCTTCGAGACCTGCTTCTCCATGCTGCTGGTGCGTACATTGCTTGAGTTTGAGGTTGGTGGAGCCCATCGCTATGCTGAGTTCCAGCTCCCATCAGGACCTGCTTCCCACTCCCGCCCGCCCTCTGCTGTCTGCAGGCAGACTCTGCCTGCCTTGCCCAAGGGAAAACTCCGCTGTCTGCTTCCTTGACCTTGGACCTGGCCCATGTAAGTAGAAGGATTTCTAGTATATTAACTGTTCCACGAATGTGAGTTGAACTGAGCCCTCTGTACCACTGTGTGGACTAATTAGCTGTTATGTTCCTTCTCGCTGTCTAAACCTTATATAATCATACATATATAATAAGGGTCCTGGTTTTGTTTCTCTGGAAACACTGCCCAACACAGCTGCTACCGGCAAGGTCAGCGGTTGACCCCACCAGTTACTCCACGGATGCAGCACCCCGTCGATCCCCTCCCCTGAAGATGACAGGGGCAGTTCTCCTGTCCTGCAGCGCTGCTCCCAGCTGGAATCACTCTGACACACGACAATATGCTCTTCTTTCAAGAGGCAGCACAGATGAAGTCTTCCTGCTGCCAGCCTCTCCCAGGGCCCCACCCTGCTGCTTTCCCGACAGCTGAAGTTCAGGATGAAAATCAGTGGCGGCGTGGGTGGCTTCTTAGGATACCAGCGGCATCAGCAAAGATGGCAACAGAATAGATCAACAGGACTTCCTCAAAGTGAAACACTCTTGAGCTTAAAAACTCACAGAACTGCTGCCCTCAGGTTGATGCTGACTCCTTGTGGCCCCGAGTAGAACTGCCCCTTTGGGTTTCTGAGGCTGTAAATCTTTACGGGAGCAGTCAGCCTCATCTTTCTCCTGCAGAGTGATCGGTAGGTTTGAACTGCTGACCTTGCGGTTAGCAGCCCAACACAAAAACCACGATGCCACCTGGGCTTTAAAGGACACTTAAAGTGAAAAGACAATTCACAAGATGGGATTTTTCCCCCCTTCTCTTCAAAATATGTACTTGTGAAGAAACCGGTATTCAGGAGAAATAAAGAAAGAACACAAGTCTGTAACCAGACAGCCAGCCCAGTTTCATTGTGGCTAGAGGATTTGAGGAGACGGTTGCTCAGAGACCCCGAAATGACCAGCGAGAACATGGACCGGTGCTCACCACCATTACCCAGCAGATGGCTGCAAATAAAACCACCCTCAGAGACCCCCTCACACCCACCAGGAAGGCCAGGATGGAAACGACAGACGACGTGTTGGTGAGGGTGTGGAGACCCAGGAACCCTCGTGCGTGGCTGGGGTGAATGGGCTCATGGTGTGGCCTTTGGAAAACATTCTGGAGGCCAAAACAGCAGTGTAGAAATGCCCCTCAAAATGCTAATCATGGAGCAAACACGCGACCCCAAAGTGCCACCCCTTGCCATACGTGTGCCAAGGAAAAAGGAAACCATGTTCACATGAGAACCTGTATGAAAACGCTCACAGCACTGTTCAGAATTAAGTCCCAAATGGCAACATCCCAAATGCTCATGGTGGCCACCCAAGAGAATGCCACTGGCCAGACAAAGAAATGCTGCGAGCCACCAGGATGAACCCCGAGGGCAGGCCTGCAGTCGTGTGTCTGGGACAGGCCACGTTGGAGGGATGGAAGACTGCCCACGGAAGGAATTAAGAGAGACCAGGGAGTGAGGGCTAAGGAGAAGGCTTTGTGGTTGTTGCTTTGGGGGAGGGGGTCATGGAGATGTTCTAATATAGCGATGGCTGCACTGCTCTGCGAATCTCCTAAAGGCCACTGAACTGCCCACTTTCAGTGGGTGACTTATCAGGTAGCTCGATAAAGCTGTTATGAAAGCAAGCCAGCAGCCAACACCTGGGGAGCACTCTGGGTGAGCCATGCACCTGTTTCACAGAAACCAGCCAAGGGAGGGAACTCAGCAGGTGAGCCACCTGAGGTGCAGCAAGCCTAAGTCTCCTGCCAGGTCTCATAGCTAATACATGGGGGTGGGGTGGGGTGCCTGGGATTTGGCCATTCCAGGGTCCCTGGGCCTCCGGCGGGTATGCACGTGTGAGAAGCTAGTGCCCGAGAGGGCCCTGTGGGGCCGCCACTCACCTTCTCCAGCTGCTCGATGCAGGGCGTGTGCACCACGATCTTGCAGGCTGCACACTTCCTCCTGGACACCGACTTCTGCTGCGAGGAAGAAAGTGCGACCCCTGAGACTCCTGGAGACTCAGCCCGACAGGCAAAGCCGCCCCTGTGCACCAGCACTTTCCCATCCGGCTTCCACCGTACTAGCCACCCTCGGGCAGCCCACAGCCAGAGGCTGCCGCCCTTCCCCAAGGCGGCGAGACGCGGCCCCCCCACCAGGGGGCAGCACCCGCAGGGCGCTCACTCACCAGCATCTTGGCGACACAGTACTGCTCCCCCACGTAGCAGAAGTCCCCGGACACGTTGGTCTCAAACCAGATGTGCTCCCCGTACGCGGCCGATTCCTAGACCATGGGAGGCGCACGCTCAGTGCAGACCTGCCACCCAGCGCGTCCTAAGCCCCCACATGCACCCGCCCCCACAGCCACCAGCTGCTCTTGGCTCACTCGGTCCCGGGTCACTCACACTCCAGTCCACGGTGCTGCGGATCTGCCGCTCGGCCTCGCTGCCGCACAGGGCGCCCGGAGCGGGCGGGGGAAGGGCCAGGTGTTGCAGGCCCGACTTGGAGACGGCTTTCCTGCGGAGGGGGGCACAGCTGAGGCAGAGCCGGCTGGGCGCTCGCCGCCTGGGGTCTCGGCTCAGCCCCCCAGCTCGGGTGGGCTCCCGAGGGCCCTTCCGAGGTGCGTGGCTCCAGGGCCGGGTCGCACCCGCACCTTGCTGGCCGTGGCTATACCTACGCAAGCAAGGCGCTCCAGGTCTGGGGTCCGGCCGACTTGCGCCGCAGGGCTACTTGGCGCCTGCGGGACAGCGGGCGCACGCGAGTGGGCAGCAGGGGCCCAGCCACGGCGCCCGAGGGCCGCTGCTGGCTGAGGCGCCGGTAGTGGCCCTGCAGGCCCCAGATGGCGCGGTCGTAGACCGATTCAGCGGGGAGCAGGTGTGAGGCGGCGTGGTGCCGGCGGCGCAGGTAACGGGGCACACGCAGCAGTGGCTGGGCGCCCAGGTGTGAGGGTGACCCTGGGGTCTTGATGCCTGGCTGGGCACTTAATGCCCCGGAGGCCGCGGCCTCCGCCTGGGGCCCCTCCTCCTCCATGCCCGCAAGCCTGGCCAGCAGCAGGGCCCCAAGCGCGGCGGACTGGGGGGCGGGAGCCTTGTCCACGGTGAAGCGGGGGTTGTACGTGGGGGGCGCGGTGCTGGAGCGCCGGCGGGGGATGCCCTGGGACCCTAGGCCGCAGCCCAGGAGGCAGCCGTGCAGCTGGGCGCTGGAGCGACGCCGCTGCGCCAGTGAGGAGGACGCCTGGCCGACGGGGGAGCGGCGCTGCGCCTTGCTCGTGGGTAGCCCCACGCGGCCTGGCACTTTGCGCTGGAAGTGTCTCCTAAAAAAGGTTTCCATTGCGGGGGCAGGCGGCGGCTGTTGGGCAGAGACCAAGACCAGGGGAGCATCAGGTGCGTGGCCAGACCTGTCACCCCACACCCAGAAGCCCATCACAGCCCACTCCCTGGGAGACAGAGAGGGCATCTGGGATGGGTTGCGAGGGTGGGGGCCGTTCAATGGTCCTGGGATTTGTCAGAGGATGGAGACCAGGCTTAGCGGTTTTAGAAGCACACTTACAGGCGGGTTACCAGACTCTGCCAGGAACGAGGGAGGAGGGCCTTCCCGGGCCCAGGTATCAGGACCCACAACGCCCTGGGTGGAGGAGCCCTCAACTCCCTTGCAGAAGCTGATGGAGAAGCAGGGCTGGCAGGTGGAGCCCCAGGTTCCAGACTGCCTGGAGTCCAGTGGCAAGTCGTCCCTTCCTGAGGGCTCTGCTTTGTCACCAATATGGGGACAGGTTGTCCTTCGGGGACAACACAGACCAAGCCAGGAGAGTATAATCAGGAAGGTGCTCAGCTGTCTCAAACCCAGTTGGGGTGGTGCAGGCTGAGTGCAGCCCTGGGAAATGGAGAGGGTCTAGAGTCTGACGGAGGTAATAGGGCCCCCAGAGAATGAGGGAATGACAAGGAGAAGGGGCCACCCTAGTCTTCACCCAGGGGCTGCTGTACAGGGTGACGGAAGGAGCTTTGCTCCAAGTTCGAGCCAGTGTATGGGATCTGATGAGAAGCTTGCTGGGGTCGGAAGCCTCCGAGCTCGACCTGCATGGGCTCTGGTCCCTGGCTCTCCCACTTGGGCAGGAGGCAGACCCACTGGTCTCCCCAGCTGATGGACTGCCACCCTCCGCTCCTGCCCAGGCCTCGTGGGTTGGGACCAGGGTGGGAAGCCCTGGTCTGCGTAAGGTGGCAATGCCTCCAGAGGGCCCAGAGGCCACTGCTCTAGGGAGGGGAGCGGTAGCTCCTGGCAGCCGCGGGGAGGTCAGAGTTGCGGAGTGCAAGGGGTGAACAGGAGAAATACTTCTGCCTGTGAGGGCCTGGACTGAGCTAGGGGGGAGGGTGGCTGCCCTGGACAATGGGCGGGCAGGAGGGGAGATTAAAGTGAAGCGAACTTCCTTGTGGAGAGCCTGGTGGCGTAGCGGGTTATACATTGGGCTGCTGGCCACCAGGTCAGTAGTCTGAAACCACTAGCTGCATCTCAGGAGAAAGATGAAGTTGATTTACAGACTTGAGAACCCAAGGGAACCGTTCTCCTCTGCCCCACAGGGATTGAATTTGACGGGAGAAGCCCTGGTGGCACCATGGGTTAAGCGCTGGAAAGGTTGGCAGTCTGCACCTCCCAGCTGCTCCTTGGGAGAAAGAGAACCCTCTGGGACAGGTCTACCCTGTAGGGCAGCTGTGAGCCGGAGTTGACTCAGCACGCTTGGGGTCAGGCTTGGCCCAAGTGTCCTCCTCTCCCTCATGGTCTTGCTTTGGCCCTGAGTCTGAGTGTCCGGGCAGCTCTTGAACCTACCGACCCGGTGTTGTCAGGTCGGCTCATTGGTGCCAGCACCTGAAGCCACCTGGCCTTTGCCTCTGAGCCCTGGAAGTGGCAGGGGAGGTGAAGGAGAGCAGGATGGGACCTAGGGGCCTGGCCCGTCGTCAGTGAGCAGTGCAGGCGACTGCCTGGCTCTTGACCCTGCAGGTTAAACTTCCCAGTCCCTGCAAACGACAGAGAGGAGGGGAGGACGGTGAGCTCTGAGGGACAAGGACTGTATTGCGTCACACTCCTGATAAGGAAACTGAGGCAGGAGAGGTCAACTGCCTCCAAATTCCACAGCGGGATGTCAGTGTGCAGCTAACTGAGGATGAAGCCTGCCCCTCCCACCACAGGACCAGGAGGAACCTGGTGGGGAGGGGCCATACTGAAACCCACTGTCCTCTGGAGCCCCCACTGTGTGACAGGTCCCTGACTGAGCACGCGTCACCTCCCTCAGTCCGTCATGCTGGCTCAGCGAGGCAGGTAGGCTCAGGAGCTCCATGACACGATGAGGAAACTAAGGCTGCCTGAGGTCATCTGCCTGGCTCCACTGGGGTCAGGCCTACCCTGGGGTCTGCTCAGCTTCCGGGGAAGAGCCGGAAGGCCCTCCTGCCCATGGCTGCCAGGGTGCTGGCTGACCAGCCAGAGTGCCCCCGGGTGTCAGCTTTCTCTGCCTGTCTGGTCAGGCTGCCCTGTGACAGCTGCCCGGGCCCGGAGGAGATTAGTCACCCGGACATACCACCTGATGCTAGTGTCACCCAGCAAACAAAGGCCACAGTCAGTGCGGGGGAGGGGCCACAGTCACTGCGTGGGGAGGGCTGGGCCTGCCTACTGCCCAAGCCCACACTGGTGAGGCAGCTGGCATAAGTGGGCACGCACAGCACCAGCAGTTATAAGTGCCCAAATTCGCATCTGTCCAGGGCCTCCAGTACCCATGGTGCAGCGAGAGCCATAGACAGTGAGGCGAGGCCAGGCAGACCCGGCCAGGGTCATGTGGTCATGTGCAAGTGGTCCACACACGGATCAGCTTCCTTGTCAGACTGGGGAGGCTGTGGGACTGGCTGATAAGACAATGACTGACCAGCTCTCTTGCCGGTAGTGTCCCCCCCACCCCCCATGCCCCAGCCCCTTTCCCCTAGGCTTCCTGTTCCTGTAGTCTCCACAGAAACTTCTGTCCCCTGGTCAGTAACTGCCTGACTCTTGACTTCCTATCTCTGCTGAGGCTCCTCGTGGGTCTGGTCACATAGCCTGCCTGGCCTCGGGCCTCTCTTGGCCGTTCCCCAGGCCTGCACAGCCTCCTGCCACCTCATGTACTGTCACTGTCAATAAGCCACACAGCACAGAGAAAGGTCACTAGGGGAAGCCCACAGGCTCCGACACTAGTGGCCCACAAAATGGCTGCTCCTTGGTCTGCTGATGGGGAGCCTAGGGAGACCTGAGTGGACAGGTTGGAGGGGGTGCTCAAGGACCCCGATGCATGTGTAGCTGGCTGTGGGGGGCCTGGGGTGGGCACAGGACAGTGGTGTGTAGCCACATTCCCCGATAGAGAGCAGCTGAGGGGGCCCGAGTGCCCTCACTTGGTCAGCAACTGGCCAGAGAGCACAGGACCAGAATGTCCTCACCACCACCCCCCACCCCACGTGAGCTTCAAGGGGAAAAGCCCTGTGTCTTTGGAATCCTGTACCTGCCATTCACCACGCCGCTGCCATGGGCTGCCTCCGCTTTCTCATTTGTAAAATGGGGCCACGGGGCACAGGCCAGGGGCCGGCGTGAGGGAGGTTCTGAGGAGATGAGGGCTGTGCAGGGCCCATCACCAGCCACAGGCACTGGTGCATGAGGAAGGTGCTCCCTCCCAGGTCTGTCTCTGCCCACGGCTGGGAACCCACCAACGGGGAGCAGGAGAGCCTGAGTGGCCCTCAGCCACTGCATGAGGAACAAGGCTGGCAGGCAGTGCCACTTTGTCTGTTCTGAGCTGCGCGGATGCCCACCACCCCCAGTCCCAGGCCTGGGCCACGGATTCTTCCAGAATCCAGGCTTCCACACATGCTATGGGCAGGGTTCCGGCGCCCCTCTACTCAGTGAAGGGGGACTGGTATGTGCTGGCCCCTCCCAGCAGCCCTGCAGCAGGGGTCGGAGCTCCCTTCTCAGGGTGCTGCTGGCCAGGGGCTGCCTTGGGTTTCTTGGCTCCCATAGGCTTAGGTCACATGGGAAGGGAGGCCTGCCCATCCCAGGCCAGGCTGGGGGACACAGAAGCCCAAAGAGCCGGGGTCAGGCACAGGCAGGGGAAGAGGGCAGTGACCAGACCCATC